GAATAAAACAATAAAAAAGCACATGCTCAGTCTAGATGTAGATGCAAACAGTTGCTTGCTTTATCTTGAGACAGTACTTTCTTAAAACAGTAGTATTAATTCTTTCTTAAAAACTAAGACATTAGGTGCCTTCACAGACAGGAGTCCACAGGAAAGGGACTTTGTCTGTATCACGAAGATACTCTTTTTGAGTGGGGTTCCAATAAAACCCAAAAACATATTACACTCAATGAAGAAGCTTCAAGCTTTCCAGCGCTGTGATGTTCCCTTTCCTTGCAGCCACAATTTTAATGGCCTAAAGCAATATTATTGAGGGACTCACTCCCATTCCACCCTACGCCTATCACACACTCTTCTGTAAGGTATGTCTTTAAGTAACAGTACCTGTATTTCATATTTCTAAATGTAATTGGATTTGAAATAACATTAAAAAAAAAAAATCAGATACTGACTTTTATTCTGGTATTTCTGCCACTGACCACTTAGCTGTCTGAAATCAAAGCCACAGCACAATATATAAACTGAAAAATAATTTGCATGATTGCATCTAGTTAAGCTAAACAAACCACCTGTTCAAATAAGTAGGTCTCATTATAAACCAGATGTTTGCTCTTCCAAAAGCAAATGGAGGACTTACAAGGTGATAGCACTTTCGTCCAAACTTTTGTCTTTGTCTAAACATGCAAATTGTAAACACGTTGTACAAACACACACCATAACACTTCTAAAAATTGCACTGTTTCACAACTTTGCTGTTATACATGACCTTCATTAGTATTCTCCTATTTTAGGCTTCGGTGTTGTTCTAGAAGTGCCCTAGTACATAGAAACCAGGGAACTGAGCTTGCAACACAGCAACCAGGCTCTATCTCCACAGACAGCTTGTACCCGTGATATTTGCATTGTGTGTCCACACACTGTCTTTTACAAAACCATTTTAATGCACATCAAACTAAAAATGACACCTTCTGTTAATGCGAACTGAAATGGTGCAGCTGCAGTAAAGCAAGACGTATCTTAGCTTTGAGAAAGTGTTCCTTCTCTGCACAAGTACCTGAGAATACTAAGGGTTAATACTAACAATGCACTTAAACAACCTTTCAATCTAAAAAAAAAAAAAAAAGAGTAATACTCACAATAAGTGCATACCCTCATGATCTGAATTCCTACAGGCAGCCATTAAACCTACTCATTTTATTTTCCTTATCCAGCAGAGTTGGCTTTGGAGAAGAAGAACACTTCAAGACCTCCCACTAGATAGGTTTTAATTTTGGCCTGAGACTGTTTTGTCATAAGACTGTTAAACACTTCTCAGAGTCCCACCATCATCTTCAAATCCATCAGTATCTTACAGGAAAGAGATTCTATCTCTTCTTCCAGAGTACAAACAGTATCAGTTCCTTGTACCAGTGGAAAAGTATATCCATAAAAAAAAACGCATATACTGTTCTAGACATTGTAGGAAACCTATCCTGCTTTGAGGAATCATTAATAATTGAACTGCAAGTGTACTCTAAATGCACACCACCGATGTGCTATACGATCAGCTTACAGTTGTATGTTGTGCCCCTTTTTGCTCAAATTAAATTATATTCTGAAGTTTCAGAAACGTTGAAGTCAAAATACAGATTCCGACATGAAATATGAGGAAATGCTAATAAACCACTAGTCACCCTGTTTGTAACAAGGAGTAACACATTTTAACAAAACTAAATTAAATGCATGAAATCCAAGGTAAACACCTCCTCTATACTGAAAATAGTAATTTTCCTCAGGTACTACCTGTCCAAGCAATACCTGTCTCATCAAGAAAAGCTTTTTACATTGTCATCAAATTTTATTGGCCACCATTTAAATTCCTTTTGACTGAGAGTAATATTTAATAATGTCTTTTAGAGATACAAATCAAAACACCACAACTACCCAGGCTGTCGGAGGGAGAGCATTTAAGCTCAGTTCTTCAATGTGTAGTGTCAGTATGGGACAACCACCTGACCTGGATGCCCAGTTAAGACTCTGACTCCTACTAGTCTCTCTTAATTAGCCTGAGGCATCTAATGATAGCATCCAACAATGGTACACGTACCTCATTGCCCATCTGCACTAACAATATATGGGACTCATGTCAAATTTTGCCATGGATGGGGAATTCCAGTGTTGGCCTCATAAAATAACTCAAAAGAGATGACTGTATAGAATAGCCTTTCTCCAAGTTACATTCCCAAAGAATAATCCTAGGAGAGCTTTATTCTCTTATCCTTACAGTAAATTACTTTTCTTGGCTCAGAGCTTTAAGATTTTATTGCTTTTTAAGTTAGTGATGAAAGATTTAATCACAGATTTGTTAGATTTAACCACTGAACATGGGCTTTTCCAGAACCTTCCAAGCTCCAACAGAAGTCACAGTAGAAGTTCCCAACTATAAACACTACTGGAAAAATTTTGGATTTACCATGGATTTCCTCCCAGTAATCATTCACAGCTTGAGTTTAGCAATAAAGAAATCCATCATCGTGCCCCAAACGCCATCTGGGAGATCAGGCTTTTGGCAGAGAAAAACGGAGCAGCAATTGCCTAGCAGCACAGGAAATCAATGACTTCCCCACGCAGGGGTGAGCAACAGGCGGCTCCTGCTGAGTGCGGGATCCTTCATTTCCCTTTCTGCCAGCAAAGCTGCTTTGTACGTGCGGCAAGCAGAGTCTCCGTTACACTAGCAGGGCACGCACACCTTCCCCCAAAGCCTGCCCTCACTGACAGGGTCAGGCAGCCAGCTATGCAATTTCAAGTGAATAGCCAGAACAGGAAAGA